TCTGAGTGTTTTTTCTGAGTGTTCGATCTTTGTATTAATAATTATAAAAAGCTTTAATTTTTCAAAAAGTTGCACATTTCACATCGGCAGTCCAAGCGGAAGAGAAGCACGCAACGTCTTTTTTCGCTCTTATTGCATAGGTGTAAAGCCTTTTCTGTCCGATTTAAACGGATTCTGCATTAATAAATGTGGTTTCCCATTAATCACATCTAGCATGATATTTTTCGGCGTAGTGTTGCTACCTAATATCAATCCTTTGACAATATTGCAGTTTGCGCTTAACTATCAATTTCAACTAATTATATTCTGTGTTTTTGGAAACGGAGTAAAATGACAGTTCATAGCGCAGATGTTGCCCGCTTGCAAGCAGCTCTGTCGATGAATATTCTATCGACTGTCGACTGAATATTGGTCACGCTTAGGGAATAAATAGTCGAATTTGTTTCATTTGAGTCATCCTCGACATTATTCATCCATTTACTGAGAACAAGTTCATTTGAATTGTCAAGTTTCGTAAGTTACACACTGTATTTAGACCTATATTTATGAAATATACGAAGAGGAGATGTATTTTAAAGATTTTCATTTTAATTCAATATAGATAATCAAATTCTTGTTGAAATGTTTATAGATAAAAAATGATCTCGATGATAGTAGGCCAACTGTCAAAATAATAATAAAGAATAGAGTAATTAGTAATCATTAGAGCATCGTTACGTTCACAATTAAGACATTTTTGGCTAAATTTTATCATCTTTCGAAATCAATCGATAAAACTATCCACAAGAACTACATGACTATTTGAAATTTTATGAAAACTGCCAACCCTACGAATGTCATTTTAGTCCGTATTCAAAAAAGACTATGTCGTTTACATTTAAATTGTTAACAGATAACTAGTAGAGACAATGGTTAACTGAGCCGGAAGGCAAGACTTTGGTCTTACGTTGTCATTCAGAGGAAGTAGTGAGTAACCACTGCGCCATCATTATCGTCAACCTCTGATACGTCCCACTAGGACATCATTTTGTCACAAAAAAATTAGTTCTTTATAAGGTTTTGATTGAACTTTTGGATTTTGACCCATAATTATTAACTTCGATAACTTGAAAAGAGGTAATAATTTTGTTCACATTCGTAGTTTTTTATTGGCCGCTATTAATTACAAAATGTCTACCCGTGTGAATTGAACTTTATTCATATTTTGGATGATTTATTTTAAAACTGCGAATGTGTACGAAAACTTTTGTTAATTGTTATAAATATATATAATGTATAATTGCGTTTCGGAAAAATGTTGTTTGGTTATAATGATTAAAAAAAAATGTCGTTGCTTTTGAATAATTTAAAATATTTAAGCTATAGTTTAACTGTATTGAATAGTACTCAATGTTTTAAAAATTAGAATTTGTCACTGCCAAAAAGTAATTTTAGTATAATGAGTTTTGTACTTTCGAAGAGTTTTGTGTAAGTCAGTTTTCTTACTCGACGCAACTGGGAAAACGGAGTACCATATTTGTAAATACTGTATAGTGTTACATTTTATTACACGCGATATTAATAAACACTTTACAAAAACATATATATTTTTTATTATCTTTCAAACCACCCAAGTCTGTAGATTTTATTAAAACTTTTAAGATTGTTCAAATACTTTAACGCTTATCACACTACCCAACTTCCAGGGCCCTGCATCAAGTGTTCGCGTGGCCCCCACCCCTAGTTAGTTGCTCTCTTATTACACTCTGCCAACCAGGCCCTACTCATTCTGAGCGCGAATGTCGAGAGTGTGGAACGTGTTGCTGTCATGGCGCCATCGAAGCTTGTATTTGTTGTTGTCGTTTCTTATCGATCAAATATAACTTTAAATCCCTAGGCTACATCATAATTAATATAATCTTTTTTCCATAAAATAATGTCTGTCTTTGTACATGTCTATCAGGCACATCGAGTATATGACGAGAAATAGAGACGAAATAAGACCCATGTATTCCAGGTAACACGTGACCTGTGTGTACGTCTCCATATATCCCAAAAAATATTCCGTATTTATTGTAATAAAGATAATATCTCTAACAATGCCGTGCTGTTCTATTCGGTGGTGTAGGAAAAACAGCAAAACATCTAATTACAAAAAAAAACCGTAATCACACTTCATCGGTAATTAAATATGTAATTTTGCAATTTTCGTCCATTATAGCAACGCTCAAGTTAACTGGTCGATTTAAAGTGAAACAATTGACGACACCCGTCAATTGTTTCAAATTCGGGCTGGCCAATCGGAACGCAGTTGTCACAGTAATGATATGGCAGAATAGTTTTCAAACAAATTAAATGACATTTCGTCTCTATTTCTGGTTATATACTCAATGATCGGGCACAACAAATTTTTTTCTTAACTTCACGACATGGCGATAGAGCAAAACAAAATGGCTGCGTGCACTAAGGGGACGAAACAATACGAATGCTCTCCTGATTAGTCGCGCGTCAACTGAACTCCCTGCCTAAAGGTTATTTTATTACACTTTCCCAACTAGAAGGCACAGGCATCGGGTCGCCTTCAGTCGCCTTAATAGGGAACCTGAATACCTAATTCTTATTACACCTCATTAGGTTAAAGTAAGAGCCCCTTTGAAATTGGGTAGTGTAATTGACGTTAAATATAAAACAAAAATGTTTTCGTTTAAACTTCACGTGTGGGTACAATGAGTACCGACACGTGAATGATAAATGCGGAATAAGGGAAAGGGGAAAGCGAAACTAAATATCCACTTGAAACTTTTTCAAGTGGACACTACATAATACACTTCCGGACACATAATTCGAACCACCACGCATTTCCAGTATTAAGTGTTCTAAGTGTAAACAATGTTTGATTGATCAAAAACTTATGCGAATTTGAAACTAGTATACTAAACGTCTTTTCCATAAGTCCTTGTTGGGAATTTGTATTTGCAAAACCGGGGGAGAACTTTTTCTTCGATGATAACACTATTTTTGTATTCTAACACTTTACGACAAACATATGCGAGTTGACTCGAATTATGTGTCCGGGAGTATATTTAGTGGATTTGTACATATTGTATCATGTAACATCCAAAGAAATGCCACAGTTGTTGCTCGTTATATATAGTTATTTCTCAAGCGGCGACCGTGTACCGAAAGATGCAGCGTGGTAAAACCTACAAGGTTATTTTTAATAATACCAAGTAACGGGACGAACTAGTCGTGCACCTGGTGGTAAGCGACACGCCTATCCATAACAGTTGTGATCCCACTCAGAACTTTAAATCGCAAAGGTCTTAGGGACACTGCCACTGCGTCCGTCACGCTGAGACATAAGTTGACAAGTCCCATGAGCCAACAATTTCACAAGCACCTTTACTCTTCTAAAGCGGAACGCAGTAATGCTCTCATTACTGCTTGGCGGCAGAAGTAGGTAAGATGGCAGTACTTCGCTGGACAAACTTTTTCACTAGGAACGCTATTGCTGCTGAAGGTGGACGGGCGACCTGCGACCCAATTCTGATGAATTTTTCTTGAAACCACTTAAAATCCCTAAGTCCATTTAGGTATTTTATGCACTATTACCACCATTGGCGAAAACTCAACATTGTCTATGGTTTAGTCTCACCGTTTTGTTTCTAAGCAGTTCCTATACCATGTTTCGAAAAATTAGTCCAATGAGATGACTTCTAACCTAAGTCCAAGAAAACCCTTTGTCCATCTATTTTTTTATACAAATATCACTAAGTTGATACTGAAGGGTTTGATATTCTTGGAATATGTGCCCATTCATTTGGTAGATTTTTAGGAAATTAACACTCAAATGGCAGATTACGCTGATGATAAAACAGAGGAACTGGAATAATAGGTACTTATTCTAGTTCTTCTTTTTCGTACATTGACTTGCAAATAAATGGACGACGGGGCTAATACAAAAACCACGAAAAAAATGGCCCAAGTCAACCTATTTAAACGTAGTGGCATGTAAAGGAATATGAAAAAGCTAAAACGTTGAATTTAAATTGTAATGTCATCGTAGTACTGTCTAGTTTTGTTTGCTTCGCTGTCAGTCGAACAAACGAAGACTAAAGCGTGAATGACGACACTTGATGATGACACTTTTTAGCGAGGACCCGACGTCCATATAATTAAGTCAATGTTTTCATATTACTTAGTACCTACCCTATTTGGTTCTTTAGTTTATGCTACCTAAAGTAAGCGTTTATTTTTGTTAAAATTAAGATTCAAAGATTAATCTGAATGTACGATTATAGGCTTTCTTTTGTATCTTTTTTTTTTAACGTTTAAGTAACGCACACACTCAACATAGCCCCGCGCTAGGAAAACCCTGTGTCGCGGGTGCCATGGACACATACATAGACAACCACAAATTACATCCAAACTCACGAGAGAAATAAACGTAGGCCATACAAATATTTCTCCCGACCCGGGAATCGAACCTGGGACCTTTGCGTGGCAGTCCGGCATGGTAACCGTTCGGCCACGGAGGCAGTCAATCTTAAAGGTATCTTTGAATTTATTGTTTTACTCATAAAATTTCTCACCAATAACCATGGCTAAACACTTCAGAGAAATTTACCTCTAAATCCAGAAAAAAAAATTTAAATCCTTAAGTCCAATCACAATTCATAATAACAAACGTTTTATACAAAAAGCCCCCAAAGCGATACTCTTTGACCACCTTTACTCTTTCGAAGATTTCGTGTTATTGTTTCAAAGGCAAAAAAAAAAACAAAAATATTGTGCAATATCTCGAAACTGAAAAAACGGACTAAGGGATTTCTTGAAATGCACCATTCATTTTTATTTATTTTATTTTATTTTATTTTTATTTTTCCTGAAACTATTGAACCTCTGTTGAGGTTATGTTGCAGTGCAGTTATAATATTTGTATTCTGCTACAATCTAGTTGCAATGGCAGTTGAATCTCTAGAGTGCCAATGATCAAATATCTAACGAACGATGTTGCCTTACTAAAACTACCATGGAAATTACTAAGCATATATTTTTGTCTTCAGCAATTTAATGTCAAATAATTAGTAGACTACACTGTCACTACTACGACGTGCCACCGATAGATTTGGAGATCTGTCACACAGGTTAGTTCCTAGTATAGACTCCAGTCTCTTGCAAAGGTACCCTATTATTTAAGCATTTTCATGTAAATTACATTGTAAAAACTTTGTACCCTTGTAAGAGTAAAATAAAGATTATTATTATTATTATTATATGCCATCGAAGAGCAGAATAACAAAAAATGGCAATGGTAGTTGTATAGTAGCTCGGTGGCTAGTCACTAACAAGCTACTACTAAATTTTTAGAAAAATACCACACGTACAACATCCTGCCCTTGACATACTATCTTCAAGGATGGAAAAAAATAATTTCCATAGTCTAAGCATTCTATCGACACACATCTGAGATGATTTTTTTATGGCGGGCATCTTGAATTTGCCATGAAATTTTTTGATTCCGGTAGAACCTGACCAAAGTCTTTGACAACTTTAATTTGAGAGCCATGTGCCCATCTCTGTCGCTTTGGCGGGTAGCCTGTGCCCTACCTGGAGCACTATTCCAAGATTTCCGGTTTATCTCGTACACTCGTTGCGAAGGCTGTGTGTTAGGCGTGTGACTGTTTGCTACTTATAGGTTTTGTTTCAGGTTTGTTTTTAGTTAAGTTCCACACAACAAGCGGCCCGCGTGGTCTGTGTAATAATGATAATAATAACCCACACACTCAACAATAGCCCAGCACTAGGGAAACCCTGTGTCACGGGTGCCATGCACACACATATATAGTAACAAATTACAAGGAAACTCACGAGATACGAGATACATAAATGTAGGCCATAAAAATTTAATATTTCTCCCAGCCTGGGATTCGAACCTGGGACCTCTGCGTGGCAATCCGGCATGGTAACCATTCGGCCACGGAGGCAGGTAATTTAATTTTTTAATGTATTAAGCTATTGACTGTTTGCTAGTGGTAGTTTTTGTTTCAGATTTCATTTTTAGTTAGATTTCATTGGGTGGGAGGGAGCTGGGTAGTTGGTATGATCGCGTCAAGTCGTATCCTAAAATACTTCAATAGACACTACCCGTACATCATCGATAGTTGCAGAGATTCAGCAAACTCACTTTTGTGTGGCGGCCATCATGTTTCGCCATATTGGAAAACTTTTGGTCTCAGTAGAACCTGAGCAAAGTTTAGACAATTTTGTTTGAAAGCCTCATCTCTGACACTTTGGCCGGGCAGCTGGTCCTACCTGATGCATACCGTTCCTGATCGCAGATGATTTAAAATTGGCAGACTAGGTGAAGGTTGCGGAAATCCGCTGAATGCAAGCAGTGCAAGACCTTGTTACCCCAAATACTGCTTGAAAAGATGTCGAATGCTGAATATAGATCAAATGAGTGGTGGTCGTAGTACGATACAGGAGAAAATTTAAAGAAAATTATATTTTTCATATACTTTTATTTTTATCTGGCAGTTTATGACTAAGTAAAAGGTACAAATAGATCTATAGATTATCTATAAACGATATAAATGGCATACAAGTCGTTTTAAATAACTATAGACCTGCGATTTCGACTATGAAAGCGAATATTTAATTCAATACCTTACAATTACAATACTTTACATTTTTGTTCAATAGCTATTAGAAGATGCGAAACAAATGAACATGTTTTGTTGTCTTTCTAATGCAAACATTTGCAAAAGGAGCAAAGGAGACTTCCGATCTTTGGTTTTCCAGAACGAGCGCAGATGTCTAATACTGAAGCTTTTTAACCAGGGAAAAACTAATTTATCACAATAAATACATTTTGTTCTTATCTACAGTTTCAAATTGCGAAAATGTAATTGAATAGAAATAGAAATTTAATTTGACTCAAAATTATTAAGTATATTTATTCTATTGAATATAATGATGTTGTTATTACCATGATATTTATATATTTATCGAATAAATTCAAAGAAAAATTTCTTCGATCCGATTGAACATGTTGTTGCTATATAGCCTCGATACAGCAAATCGTAATAATAACGTCAAACTTTTAATTTATTTCATAAAATTCATATGAAAATGCTGAAAATGGTACTCGTTTTTTGATATCACAATAAAGGAAGTCACCCTACTCATTAACGCAGAATAGGGTTGAACCGGTCAAACGTGGTTCTACCAGTAGAACTGTGACTGTGTGACCTCCTTGCATCGTCATTCCAACTTTTTATTTAAATTTCTTATTTTATTCTCACACTCGTATTTAACACATCTCTTCTTATCGTTTTGAATCTTTACTAGTTATATTTACACCGTTTACATTTTGAAAATCATAATATCATTGTGAAGCCTGAATAAAACCTATAAAACTGGACTTTCAATTTTTGAACTACTAAACTTACTAAGTAAGATGTGTGGAGACTGTGCAGGCGGCGGAGGCTACTACTACTCTCTAGGTTACATTACTACTACATTCCATTCAACAGGACATAACGCCACCAGCACCAGCACCCCCTTACAGAACTACGGTTAATGTTACTTGCTCGTAGTCCTACTGGTAGAGCCACGTACAAAAAATATTGCCCTTGGTACTGTCAATACAACTACACAGTAGGACCTTGGGCAAAGAACGCAGAAAAACCTTTACGTCCATGCTATAAAATTGCAACGGTCATTCTCAGACTAGTGTTCACTACCAAATTTTCGTGGCAATTTTTATAAAGTACTCGATATTTTTATCGTGAAATATTATTTAATAATTACACGATAATATACCTACTTGAATATTTAAATAATAACAATTGCCACGGGTAAATTAGGTTGTGAACACTAGTCCGAGAATAACAGGAAAAAGTTGTTGCACGTTGACGACCACACACTCGAAACATACAAATACTTTTTCTTTCCTTCTAAAACTTTTTCAGCCGGGCTTAATGTAATTCCGCGTAAAGTGTGATGATTCACTAACGCCATAGTTATAGAGTAAACAGTGGGGAAATGCTCCGTCCATTTTTACCACACACTTTTTTCAAATCATATATTGTTTGGCGCGATTAACATTGTGATATCATAGACGAGTATTGCAGTCTTTTTTTAACTACTGATTTCTGAATGCCTGTAATTATTTTATTGAACGAATTTGCAATATAGCATCTTTAATTAAAAACGTATCTTATTTCGGAAAGTAGTTTTTGGTTAACTGACAACACACAGATTTAAAAAAATAACAAATACTTGCCGATTCGGATAGAAACGATTCTTTTATTTTGTTGTGTAATGTATTTTGTCAGTCGCCATTTTCAATTTCATCATCATTTTTTAATACTTATTTAATAAAAAAAAATCGAGATTTAATCGCTTTTAATATTTTTTTAAATCGATCGATTTAAGTCACGTATAGCCAAAAGATTTAAGATTCAAGAAAGAACTTCTCTGTGTGCTGTTATAATATTTTATAGCACCTTCGTTTTTATTTACATTTACATGTAATTATTATATATACAAGTCTACCTAATAGAAACTAAGTGAACATTCACACGAGTGGCGTTTTTAAAGTTGCAATGTAGCGTGAATGCAGCTCATGTGACTCTACACCTTAACAAGTAAAATAAAGTAGAAAAATAGCAAATGCGTATTCAGAACTTTACATTAAAAGTAACTAAACGATTTCAGCTTAGTGACTAAAACAGTATATTACTGATCTATGGTCCCTATCGGTTAACAATAATAGTAAATTTAGTGTTCAGTCAACAAAGAACGTTTATTTGAAAGTTATTTTATTTGTAATTAATATAACTACTTTGACAAATAATTCCACTAGTTCTACCAATAGAACTAATGGAAATAGAGAAAGTCGCTCATGTGTCATCATCTTCCTTCGCAATCTGTTCTTGTTGTGAGTTTTTCACATATTTTTTTTTTATTATACCAGCCAATGTCAAAATTATAATAAGTTTTTGCCAGTAACGCCTCATGCATCACGTGTAACATAAAAACGTTATAATAATTTGCTAATAAATTATTGAAGGCGTTTCATAGTAAGAAATTATTCACAGCATCGCCACAGATTTTTTGCTTTATACTTCAATATACATTTATTTTATTACATGTTTATGTTCGACGAATATTACATCTCGTTAGAACAGATTGTGAAGAAATATAGCGGCGTGAAAGCAGATCATATCACGAGTATTTACAAATAAATCTCATATCTACTCTTTCAAACTTGGTGTCTACATTAGTGGCTATTAAAATAGATTATTTTTTGCAAGCCTCTCATAATAGTGATTAAATCGACCTAATCGACAAATTAAACAACGTTCTGTGTTAACTGGTCACAAATAATAAAGCCCGATATTATCTATACGACTGGCGTGCGCGCAGGCGGACACGCCGTCCTGAGAATCTCCCCGGTTTCTGTTATTGGCACCGTCTTATGATAGTTTATGAGATCAGCTGTAACAAAACACATTTACTCATTAATACAAGTTCCCCAAGAAAGATAAGGTATGATTGGTCGATTGACAAGTTGTAATTTCCCACGGCATTTTTAACGTGAATTTATTAAATATTTATAGTTATACCTAGAGTGTTATGAGAGTCCATGCCAGTTCCTGGAAGCAAACGGTATCCGGCCGTCGCCTCGACCAGGTAGTGCTTGCAATGACCAGCGCAGCGGTAGGAGACTGCGTAGCCCCATACACGCTCTGATAGACGCACCAGGAAGCTGCCTTCAGGCTTTGATTGCAGTATTTGTTCGGCTTCTGATCTGGTGATCAGACCTATGGAAGAATACAAATAATTTTTTATTTAAATCCAGTCATTTTTTCTTGTCACAGCTCGGCGCTAATGAAAAACAACGCTTTCTAGGAGGAACAAACTCTGAATTGCTGATTTTGTTGATATATTTAATAGCAATACATGAAATGTTACGCAGTTTTAGGACACGGAAATTCACAATATTTTCGTCACAATTAATCTAAAATAAAATGCACTTATCAGGCTAAATTTGCGTGTACACTATTTTCCCAGTATTTATAAAACACCGGCACAAGAACGGCACGCTATTGATGGCCGTTTTGACGTTTGTCCGCTCTCCAAATTTCGTATAAATTCATAACTACGTTGAAGGAGCTAATTGATGTACGTTGTTGTCAATAGTGACGTGCAGTAAAATTTTACGACACAACTCGGCATATGTTTTTCGTAATTCAAAATTTTTGAAAATGAAATCTAATACGATCGTCACATACAGGAGGTAGAAGTTGTGCTGCCTAGCAGCACAACTTCTACCTCCGGCAATCGCGTCAAAACTCAACGCAAAACAAAGCAGTTTTGAATTGACGATATATTAAGTAAACATTATTATTTTCGTTTTATTAAAACTTTTTAATCAGCTACCCCTTGCAATACTAGTTATAAATTTAAAAACTCATAGATGAGACTCGCATTCGCTTATATTTTTTTCGTTAATGAATTGAGATTTGACCTCACTTCACTTGTGATCTGTCAAAACGGCCATCATAGCGTACTGTAATGGATATTATCTACGAAACAGTCCCATATTTGTTACTAAGTTTTGATTACAGTGCCCTCTTTTGGTTATACGGGAATTATTTAAGAAACAGTATTGATGTAGATAATGTTGTTTGAATTTAATGCAAATGAATTTTGAATCATCGTGAACCGCCATGACACTCAGGCAGTTTATACACCACACTCATGTAGTCCAATAAATTCAGTTACAAAAAATTAATTCAACATACCTGTGTCTAGTTTAAAAGAAAACGGATAAAATGAGTTTAGCATCGAGTATATAACCAGAAATAGAGACGAAATGTCATTTAATTTGTTTGAAAACTATTCTGCCATATAATTTCTGTGACAACTGAGCCCCGATTGGCCAGCCCGAATTCGAAACAATTGACGGGTGGCGTCAATGGGTGCCGCTAGCGACCGTGTATGACAAATTGCACAACGCTTCTAGTGGTCACACGAAGATCTAAATTTTGTAGTACGCGGTCTGGTGTGGTAATACTTTGCTTCCAACTTACCATGAAACCAATCAACTGGTTTGTTGTTCTCGTCAAAACCAACGCCGCGTTTCAACTCCTGGTTGCGGAACCACTCCACCACCGCCTCTCTGCTTGGCGGTTTGCCAGCTGCAACAACAACGTTGTTATTTTAATGGGTTGTGTGCAATTAGTATGTGATTTACGGACTTACGAATAAGAAATCAATCGGATAGGAATTTAATAGCTATGTTTCTTAACTTAAATTCGTTTAGCTAGACAGATTTCAGGGTTCATTGAAAACCAGCGTCACAACCTAGTTTCGGCTGTGTGGGCTCGGTGTGTAGAAAGCTTAAGGAAGAAAAGTCAGGTGTAAAAATAGTTAAAATTACATGGAACTAATGGGAATAATTGGACGTAGTTAAACAAAAAGGATCCAATGCACATCCAGTCACTTTCGAGATATGGCAGTTTGAAGTCAAAAATGTTTCTCTCTTGTTTTATTTTCAAAACTTATAATGTCGTGTAACTCCAGAGATATTTTTTATGTTTATATGTTGGATTTCTTTTGCAGATCTAAGAGGTTAGACTTTAGGAACCGTTTGGTACATATAACTAATTTTTTGGATTGGATCATTTTTGATTAACTACGTGCAATAATGACATATTAAGGTAACACTGGTTCCACGTGGAACTGAGTACATGGAACTACTAGGAATAAACGGGTATTGGTTTAATACGTCAGTCTTACTTATAAACGTTCCTTATAAATTACAAGGAATTTATCCTTATAATACGTCCTTAGAAAAAAGTCCCTCATATAAGGAATTTACCTTATAATATTGTACAGGCGTTTCCGGCATAGGGATTTGTAGAACCACAATTATACTTTTATCACATACAGTTAAGTTTAATGTGTCACACATGTACCGCGCCATTGTTCCCGTTAGAAAGGAAGGAAAATTTTGCTTTCCAATAACTGTACATACCACGTACATACCACAAGATTGTATTCTTCGAATATACGTAAGTAACCACATGAATTCATGTGTGCCATATTGGGGTTGTGCTACATTGGTCACTTATGTACCTACTAGAAATTTTGTATAAACCCCTCAAAATATCTGTGATCTTCAGCTTCAGTAATATTGCCACAGCAATATGGGTTTTACTTAAATTTTTTTTATTTTTATAAAATATAGGTGCGCATTTGACCTTCATCTCACCTAATGGAAAGTGATGATGAGGTCGACGATGGAGCATGCACACTTAAATAATGCCTATTCACTCTCGCCTTGAAAAGGTCCAAGTTATAACGTTCAGGGAACAAGTCTGCAGGCAGGGAATTCCACTCCATAGCCGTTCGCCATACAAATGTGGAAGCATAACGTTTTGTGAGAATCTTTGGAATATCCACAACATAGGGGTGGAACCCAAGCCTACGCCTAGTCCCCCCGGTGATGGAAAGGGTAAGGCGGAATTAAATCGTGTAATTCCAAATAAAATACCGATAAGCAGGCAACTTTACAGCGGTGTTCAAGGCTCTGCAGCTTCGTCTCCATTAATTCCGAGTCACCTATAAGCCTCTTGGCATGGTTGTCAATTGAAACCAAAGTGGCCAGTTGATATGTCGCAGAGCCATCCCAAAGTTGCCAGCAGTACTCTATGCACGATCGGACTTGTGCTTGGTACAGCTCAAGCAACTGTCCCGGTGTAAAGTAACGCCTCACCCTGGAATGGATCCCAAGCTTCCTTTTGCCGAAGTTTAAATTGGACGACAGGTCCATTCCAAGTAGCTGGAGACAATCGGCTATCGACTATCGGATATCGTAGGCTATATCACGAAAAGTAGGAGTCAGCTCAAAGGGACTCCGTTTTGTGGAAAATAGACACGCCTGCGTTTTGGTAGCGTTAAATTTGACAAGATTGGCATTGCCCCAATCGGAGACTGCCTGGAGTGTCAAATCTAAACGGCTAACCATGGACTCTCGACAAGACTGGATTTCCTCTTCACTGACTCATGCATTGGTCAAGTACCTATCAACAACTGTGCTGTTATCAGCATATGCAAAGGTACCTGGAATTAACATATCATTGATATGCAGCAGAAAGAGAGTTGCAGACAGTACGGAACCCTGAGGAACTCCGAGGGATGAATCCGGTTTCACGCACTTTCCGATAACCGATTTCAATAAAACTTGTCAAATAGATGTAATTCCACGAAATTTTGCGGTCGGTTCTTTTTTTTATGAGAAAGTTATAATTATGAGAGCATTACTGCGTTCCGGTTTGGAAGGTAACCCTTGCCAACTTAGGTCTCAGGATGACGGGCGGAGTGGCAGTGTCTCTCAGATCTTTGCGATTTAAAGCTCTGAGTGACACTGCAACTGTTATGGACAGGGGTACCTTACCATCAGACGAATGACTTGTTCGTCCCGTCACTGATATTATAAAAAATTTTAAAAAACTTTCGGTCATTAATGATGTACTGTATACGGAAAGCCATATCTGCCGTCCACTAACTATGGACGTCGGGTCCGCGCTAAAAAGTGTCCGCACTTGTAAGGCGCTAAAATCGTATACAGAGCGCGACACTCCGCTTTAGTCTTCATTTGTTCTACTGACAGCGCGATACTGCGATGACATTACAATTTAAATTTCGAATAGGTTGACTTGGGACATTTTTTTCGTGGTTTTTGTATTAGACCCATCGTCCATTTATTTGTAAGTCAATGCGGCGAGGTGACAAATGGTCAAATATCCGTTTTAAACAGCAAAAGACAGACCACAAAATCATCTTTTCAAAACAGTTAAAATTATTAGACTTATCGAAAACGATAAGTCGAATGACGATGCACAGCTGAAACGTCATTAAACAATTTCAATGTTCTAAAACTGGATTAGGGTTTTTTATGATATTTCAAAAAAGTTTTCGTTAGCGGACGACACATATATACACAATCCAGAGACTTCCTCATCTTAAAAACTGTTCACTAATCAAGGTTGTCAAACAAAATAATGTTGAAAAGGGGGCCTGGTGAGATTTAGTAGAGACGCGCTTCTGAAGCAATCTTATACGATTACGAGCAGCAATAATACTTCTCAATATAAAAAAACTACCTTACCTTCCCAAAACGCCATAATGGTATGACTGATATCCCTATAGTGTTGGTAGCAAATATTATGACAACACTCTGATATAGTTTGCACCAGCGTATTCCTTTCTGTCAATCGATCTTCCTTCATTTCAAGTTGTTGCAGTTTTTGTTGGAATAAATTCAATTGGTTTTGCATAACGTCGATACGTTTGTTGTATAATTCGTTTTCTATTGTCAAATTTTCCACTTTTCTCAAAAGATCTGCTTCGAAAGGTGAAAGTTTTATATCATTTTGTTGTAAAGGTACTCGGTAGACAGAATTTTCCTGCCGTTTATATTCTTCTTTCGTTCTTCTATTTTCTTCAAAAGGCATAAATTCAAGTTCTGCGTAAGTGATACCATTTTTGTTTTTAATTTCTTTTTTATTTTCTTCATTTTTGGTCTCAGCTAAGTGATTCTTCAACCCTATAACTTCATTTGTTAATTTCTCCAAAACCTGTACTTGTTCTGCTTTGAAATCTTGAAGGAATTTATAAATGTCTTCTTTGAAAGTTTTCTTTCCCATAGGCCTTGCATATGATTGCCTTCTTGCGGCTGTATCTTCAGATTTTCGAGACATCGTTTTGATTGATAATGTTACGTTTGTTAAGATATGCTGAATATATCCCCAAATATAGTACATCAGGTAATGAATTGAATTGAAAGCTTGTTAATGACTTTTATACCACTAAAACTCTTACAAGAATCTAAGAAAGAATCCAAAAACGAGAACCGAAAAAAACTTTATAAAAGGAGAACCAATTTCAATTATATAAATTTTCACGTCTGACTGACTGACACCAGAGAACTACAGTAACATTATATTCACAAAACACCCGGTAATATAAGAAATAATTACATATTTATAATTCAAATTACGCAGTTAACTATTTTCCTTCTTTTTATGCGTCACAAATTCCACATGGGTACTATAGCAACACAGTTGCCAATACGTTGTACTGTTTAAATTACCAATTAAATACGAGGTGCGTAAAAAAAGATAATTTAAGTATGACATGTACCTTCTGTGTAATGTTCCAATGATGGGCCCTCATTTTCAAATGATCTCTCAACGATTGGAATCACAAGGTCTTTATTTCTTACTATTTATTATCAGGTAGTCTCAATGTTGTTATAATCGGCTTTTTACCCACCATCGCCACAACTTATTTCTGAATAGTATATTTGCTCTTGGCGCTATTACCTCACAATGAGATAGGGTATAAAACTTTCTGTTAATGGCATAATTTGCATTTATTTGTATTACTTGCAGCATTGTTACTCCAAGCAGGTGTTAGAGATCGTGTGTTTGTTGACTTGACATCGAGTCTCATTACTGCCCTTAAAATATCGAGGTCCTGAATTATTTCACGCGAAAGTGTGGCGTCTCACCTTCCGGTGCAGGCGGCGCAGGCGCAGAATCGAGGTCGGCGTTGCGACGATGCGCCTCACGCGCAGCTCGCGCGATCTCGCGCATCGCCGCTTCAGCTTCCTTCGCTTTACGCTCTGTAACCAATTTAATTTTCCAGTGTAGATAAGTAGAATATTCAAAAAATATAATGCGTTAGTAATGAAAAAAATAATTACATTAGTTGTTTATAGGAGGTACCATGTTTTTCAATTCACGCGAACTGTTGAGAAAACTTCTTCATTGGAGATGGTTGATGAGATGGTACATTCCAAAATTGTATGTCCACTCATTCTTATGTATATTTAGTTAATATCTAAGTAATAAATATAAATATCAGGCAACATCACAGACGGTGCTCTGGTCCCAAAGTAAGTAACTACTTGTGTTATGGAAATTGGAACCAACGACAGACCTCAACACTCAGATTCAAGATAATATAGAAAGTTGATTTTCTACATTAACCCGGCCGGGAATCGAACCCAGGAACTCAGAGATGGCGACACAATTATGCAAGCCACTCGACCACGGAGGTCGTCTAAAGGTGGTGGTTCGCGTTGAGACCGAAACGAGAGACACAGACGGGAGACCAAAACCGTTACTTGACTTTGTAGGTGTTCAGTTCACGAGTGAGATCGAGACAGACGACTGCGACGCGAGACCGAAGACAGTGAGACAATCTCTGCTGCGGACAAGTGGTATCGCGAGTCTTATTCGAAAAGCAAGTGGGCTATTGTGAAAAATTACGTCGTTTTCTGATGGGAAAACGAATAAATTAATTGAAATGATATGACAACATCCTACGTTATTTAATTGGCAGGTTGACTCATACAGGGATGAAAATTTTAAGGATGATATTATGTTAATATTGATAACTGTATAGCTTTCCATTACGCTGCCCATAACTTTCCAGTACACGGGTGTCTCCAACGACTGGCAACGCAATACTGATTAAACAGTGGTCGCTGTCTCGGCGCCTCACAATACACCACCAGAGACGAAGACATTTGTTTCGGTCTCCTGTGTCTGTCTACCATCTCGGTCTCCTATCTATGTCTCGACATGAAAGACGTAAGATCCAATAAGGTTTAAATGCAATGATTTTATACCCTGCTCTCTCCAAGCAGCCTCATCTTCTTGCGCATGCTGCTGTGCGTCCCGTAAAGTCCTCGCTCTTCTGGCCTTTAACCCTCGCAGGATGTCGCCTGCACGTGCTGCAGCCACACGACGCTCCCAAGCCGCCACCCGGTGGCTAACACCGTCGCCGTTGTTTGGGATACCTAAGTCCTAAAATGCAATATAATTATTATTATTATTATATAAATATTATCCCTGTCCCCGTCACATATACGGTTATTACCATAACTCAGAGAGGGCTAGAAGATCACGAGTATCGTTGTGCTTGTTACTGGATTTTTGCATTTTTGGTTTTCAACAAGTTTTTAGCGCCATCTACGAGAAATCTATTAAAGTATTTCGTCACCCAGTTGGATACCTTTACAGCTACCAGCCCTGGCTAGAGATGTCGCTATTAACTTTTAATTGAATTGACATTCAACTAGTTTGCGATTTAGATAACAACCAACTAAACTTAGTTGGCATAGAGTCTGGCACGGTTTGCTAGAAGACGTCGATTCGAATCCGGCCGGATCGAAGGAATTTTTTATAAGAGTTCGATCTTTGTATTAATGATTATAAGAAACTAGTGGAGTAATTTCACAAAAAATTATTGAATATTAATTCAACAAAAATTTGATCATTCAGATCATTAAGTAATTACCAAGGAGTCGAATACTGGAAACACTCACAATCGCGCAGCGCTATTTCAGACATCCCTGTGATTCTGGGCTTTCACAGCTATTAAAAAAACTTGGATAAGCCTCACCTGCAAAACATCTCTCTTCCCTTCAATAAAATTAAAGTGCAGCTTATTCTTATTCAAATCCAGCTTCATGTTCTCAGTACAGTAGTCTGTGTCCTTGTTCTGTTTGTCGGTCACTTCGGGCTCGAGCGCCTCGATGCGCTGACGCAGTTCATCCACGGTGCAGTAGATCTCGATATTATTTTCTAGCGATTCAATGCTCTTTGGGGATAGGTCGAATTTCTGGAATTATGAATTAATAACATTACAACACCAGATAATATAATATTTCAATAAAGCAAGAAAACGGGAAACCGGGGTCTAAAAGTATCATAAAAGGTTAGTAGGTAGTCACTCAGAGCTTTTAATCGCAGTAATCTGAGGGGCACTGCCACTGCGTTCGTCATTCAGAGACATAAGTGGACAAGTCCAGGTGCCTGTAATATCATCATCACACTTACCCTTCAAAAAATATACCTAATTTGAATAAGAAAGAAGATACCCATAATATTAACCTTAGAGCTAAATCCAAACTCATGGTACCACGATTTCGTTTAACCAAGGTAAACAACTCTTTTATGGGGAACTGTATACGTTTTTACAATAAGATTCCGGAGCATATATTAAGTTTATCATTTCCTAAGTTTAAAAACTACATTAAAAATATTTTGATCGAAAAATCATATTACAAAATTGAAGACTACGTGTTAGATAAAGATATATGGAAAGACGACATGGCTCCAGAATCCACACAAATTTGATTCAAAGTGTATTCCATAGCATTTAAGTTTATTTGAAAAGAGCAATCCCTAGAGTTTCTTGCTCGTTCTTCTCAGGGAGGTCAGCGTAGTGAACGAGCAGTGGCTTAAATGTGACGTTTTCAAGTGTAATTTATTTTACCTATGGAATAAATAATCTTTGACTTTGACTTTGACTTTGAAAAACCTGAACGCAGTATGCTCATATTATTGCTTGGGTGCAGAAGTAGGTAAGGTGGCATATATACTATACTGCTGCTAAAAGTTCACAAAACGGTGGACTAAAAATATCAAAATCTAATTTCTGGATTTCTATACCTGTTCCAAGCTATCCAGCGGCTTATAATCAATCAATTGCGTGAGCTCCTTTTCAACTGATTTGCGCAGCTGGTGGGCTTCCTGTCGAGCCTGCGCCAGCGCACGTTGCTTAGCTTCTTCCGCCAAGATACTCTCAATGGATTTATCGTCTTTGTGTTCCCCCATCACCCAAACCTAGAATAAGTGGAATTATAACAATTATAGAACTATCAACTTTAATACTTTACAAGAATTGAATGTGACCTGTGGGATGATACCAAGGCAAAGGTATTTCCCGTAAAGGAAATCTGTTTCTGGAAATATGACTTATAATATGACGTCGCACAAAAACACTGCGAATCTGTAATCTTGACAGATCAGCTTGTACAGACAAGAGCACGTCAAGCTGACACTTTTGGACCGTTCTTATCGTAAGCCGCAATAGAGTTGGATTTAAACCTTAAGTGTCAAGCTTGATGTGCTCTTGACCTTGTACAGGGGTCTTCCTAGTGCGGTGCTTTGAATGGGTGCGTTATTATTATTTTATAATTATAGTATTTTTAATTTTAAATTGAAATATATTTATTTTAGCCCCTTTTTCTTTGTTATTGAATGTTATTGTACAAAAAAATAACAAATTGATGTGCTAATTGAGTGAGGGAGTAGTATTCCGATTAATTTGATTTTCAAAAGATTTGTTCCTTAGGGCGCATTCGCCTTAATTTTGTAACAACATTTTATTTATCGATGGACGACTGTCGCATCCAGCCTGTTCCCATATTATAACGACTATCTGTAGTGACTGTGTCGTGGACGTTTATTTAATCGTTGAACGACTGTCGTGTCTAGCTGTTCCCACTAGATCGTGACGACAATTTATCGGTTCACGGCAGCCGCTTGCACAACAGAATCGTTTGAAGCTGCGATTATCTGTCGTCACATTTTTATCGTGACGTTTTATTTATCGTCGAACGACTGTCGATCTAGCTGTTCCCAATGCCACGACAGTCTGTCGTCGTAACGTCAAAAACGTAAACGTGAACGACATTTAATCGTATTGTTCTATTTGTGAACAACTTCATCAGACTTAGGGTCGTATTCCAGAACTCTACTCAATGCTCAAGTCAGGATTTGAGCAGACTTGAGTATGATTTCAAGTACTGGAAATACGACCATAATGGCAAGGACTTGAGTATGATTTTCAGTGCTCACTGCAATACTCAAGTCCTGACTTGAGTATTGAGTAGAGTTCTGGAATACGACACTTAATGTTGTGACGGCTCTGAGGTTGCGCTCTGGGCACATTCCTTCAAAGAAGTTTACTTTTTTGATGGGCATTACACCAACTCCACATTGTAACAATTGCGGCGTCATTGAAGACGTTTACCACGTTTTGATGGAATGTGTTCGGACCGAGAGAATCGGGAGACAGTTGGGCAGTGTGGTTAACATACGACAGACTGGGTGGTGTAAAAGTATATTGGCCGTTCCTACATCAAACGAAGCCAAGATACTGTACAAAATATATTTAGATTGTCATAATCTAGGTTAGATGTATAAATTTAGTAGCATTACGGAGCGACATTACCATTGACACACATGGTAAAGCTCCTTAAATGTAGATTTAAAAAAAACTTCATTTAAATATACGAACCACGTCAAGACATAAAGGGAACGTGCCCTTACTAGGGTTTGCTCTGGAACAGCCGTGAAATGAATATTTATGAAATCGAATAACATCTTGCGCTTTCTATTAATTTTAACGATCAAAACAGGCACTAGGCGAAATGTAGGACAGTTCTGTGAGGACTACTTTACTGTGTGGCGACATCGAAAGGTGTGCCCGGTTGTGCCTGCCAATAATATCACGACATTGTCGAAGCGCTGGAAACGTAGTTGTGCGGACTATAACACTAGGTGGCTCGCTTACATTTCATTTAGTGTCCGTACTCATTATTAGCTAGGACAGATATAACTCTAAAAATGATATAAAGATATTTTTTCTGGAATCGTGATTTTTCTATGTGTTGCGCGTTTGCGCAGAACATTCGATTCGTATTCTTTCCGAATCTGAGACTATACAAATCTAGAAAACTCGGACCGAATTCCGATTCGAATGCGAGAAAATACGATTATCGCTTGTATATCTAGAGATAAAATGATCCGTGTGACATTTCGGACCGTCATTTCTCGGATTCGGAACTGGGGTCTACTCGCGACCTCCGTCCGACATCCGTCCGAAACAATTACTGTCAAATAAGTAATATTCGACAAAATTAAAAGACAATTATCAAGTATGAAGCTCCATTCGCATCACGCGTCTTTTCATTTGGTCAAGTATTGCTCTCTGTGGAAGTGTCACTCTGTGGTACAATTTTGTCCAGGGTGTCGAAATTTAAATATTTGGGTCATTGGGTCACGGAGAATCTCAATGACAATTGTGACATAGAGAGGGAGCGCAGGTCGCTGGCTGTTCGCTGTATTATGTTGGCTCGCAGATTTGCACGTTGTACTAAACAAGTTAAAATTACATTATTTAAAGCCTACTGTCAAGTGCTGTACACGTGCAGTCTGTGGGTCGCGTATTCGGGGCGGACATTCAGCGATTTGCGTGTTCAATATAATAACGCATTCAGGGTGCTGATGGGGCTTCCGTGGAGGTGTAGTGCATCGGGGATGTTTGCCGAGGCTCAGATGGACGGTTTCATGGCCATCACGAGGAAAAGGTGTGCATCTGCGCTAAGGCGCCTCCGTGATAGCTCCAACGGCATCCTGTGTGTGTTTAAGGATCGGTGGGACTCGCCACTCCTGCGTAGGTGGATAGAGCTCCACACTATCTTAAATGTATAAGTCTTTCAGATTATAATAATATTAATACTAACACTAGTTCTTAAGTTGTTTGGTTTACTAACTCTATATGGATTTTATCTGAAATAAATATTTGAATTTGAATTTGAAATTTGAATTTGAATTGCTTATTTGGCAGTAATTGTTTCGGACGGATGTCGGACGGGGATCGAGACTAGACCCCCTGATACGAATCGGATGATGTGCGCAAACGCACTTACAATGTTGTTGGATGCACAAATTTTGGTAAAAATTCGCGAGTTATTGAACTATGTCATTTTTAAACGTTATTTAATGGAAAGCAGACTTTATTGATAATACAAAAAATTACCTCAAGCCAACACATACTAACATCGCTCACAATTCATTGGAAAGAAATCCGCGTTATTATTTCTGTCTTTATTTAGGTAACGTAAGAATACAAACCCAGGGCTCCCCATCCTCTCCTTTCATAAACTGCACCTGCTTCCTGCTGTTCTTCAGCAGTTTCGGTCTCTCAGTTTGTTCTTTCACCACTTTTTGATCCCACGATTGCCAACGTCGGACCTGGAATTAAGAGAGTTTGTTGAAATGAGCATTATGTTTAAGTTTCATATAAAAAAATAGCAGCAGAGCTTTTTGTGAAAGAGTTCGTCCAGGGAAGTACTGTCACCTTGCCTATTTATGCTCTCAAGCAGTAATGTCAGCATTACTGTGGTGCTGGTGACATTACAGGCACATAGGACTTGTCAACTTATGTCTCAGGGTGATGGGCGAAATGGCAGTGCCCTTCAGATCTTTGCGATTTAAAGCTCTGAGTGCCACTGCAACTGTTATGCACAGGCGAGTAGCTTACCATCAGGCGTTCGACTACTTGATCGTCTCATCACTTGATATTATAAAAATTGTGTGATCTCAAAATAAAAAAATATACATTATTCATATTTATTTATATTATATATTTATATTTTTTCATTATCGCTCTTGAAGCACTTATACCCTTGCTACAATAAAGCCACATGTGGTCTTACGTCGGAAGTATTTTTACAACATGAATGTCATAAAAATAATACGAACTAATTGAAATAAATTAATAATTATAATAGTTCTTGAATTTGAGTCCCTGACTCCGGTCCATTGTGTTACTGCCGGGGAATACCGCCTCTCTCACTTAAAAATTCAAAGTTGGTCTTTTCAGCCATGTTCTTCTTCTATGCGACAGTCATCATTGAGTGGGTAAAATAATGATAACGATCTTAGTAGATAACTATTAATTCTAAAATTAGTACGACTAAATGGAACATAGAGAAAATTATGTTTACGAAATTTCCTAACTGGAACTTTGAGTAAAATATTACTCAGGAGCTCTGAATCAATCTTATTCTGTGCAATGTTCAGCAAATTTTTGTAAACGGTATTATGTACTCGAAATGCGGCAATTTAAATTTGTAACTAAATTTGTAATAAGTAAATAATAGAATAGAATTCATTTATTACAATAGCACTACACAAAAATATAGTAATATAGTAAATAAATAAAAAAGACGAAGCAAAAGTAAAACAAACCATAAAATTAAAAAAAAAATACGAAGCAATCGTAATCCGATTTTAAACAGTCAACTCAATTTGAATAAATGTCATGTGTACTGCTGTGGCGTATGAAAAAAGATCCATTCAACTATTGCCAGAGCTGAATAAAGACTGTAACTCTGATTTAGCGGTAATTCACCTTTCAACACTCGACATAAGCATCGCTACGCTTATCTAAACCATTTTTTTCCACATGTATTAATTACATAACAAAAGTAGGCATAAAATTTTTTTTATAAGTGCAAATAAATAATATACATTAAATGATTTGTGTGTGGGGGGCAGGCTTAGCATTTACTGAGCGACAGAAGTCGTTCAGCACTGGTTTTCAGCCTGCCCTCGACCATAGCAAACACATTTGTAATTGCGCTTGTATCGCAAACTTAGTATTTAGCAACATTATATAACTAAATCTGAATAATTCAATAATTAATCTCCATTCAGTTGAATTTAATAAGTAATCCCTATAAGTCATTATATACATTTTACTCCGCTCCAACTGTATCTTCTGTATGTATTTAGCTACCCATGTATATAGTATATTATGTGTACCTTAATTGTAAACCAATCTAGTGATTGTAGGCTTGGTGATGATAAATTCTGCCTACACACAAGTAATATTTGCGATAATCACAATTCAAACTTGCCGCACATTGCACATGTAGTGTAATGTACGATAATTGAAATATTAATTATAGAGATGTTGCGCTCAATACACACACACTTTGCCTTAAATCGCACTTGACCATGTGCGCTTGAGCAAGTGTGCCGGCTGTTATTATTATGTCGTGTGTGATCTGAGGCAGCGCAAAGGTTGTGTAACCCACATTTAATTATTTTTCTACAATCAATTATTATTTTAAATTTACTAGATCGAAGGAATTTTTTCTGAGTGTTCGAAAGAGCTCCTTGTGGTAGAGTTCGTCCAGGGAAGTACTGCCAACCTTACCTATTTCTGCCGCCAAGCAGTAATGTGAGCATTACTGCATTTCGGTTTTGAAGGGTAAGGGTGCTGGTGAAATTACAGGCACAGGGACTTGTCAACTTAGTCTCAGGGTGACCGGCGCAGTGGCAGGGCCCCTCAGATCTTTGCGATTTAAAGCTCCGAGTGCCACAGCAATTGTTATGGACAGGCATGTAGCTTACCACCGGGCACACTTGTTGTTCCAGTTACTTGATATTATGAAAAAAAGATATGAGTACCAGAGCAACGGAATTCTGGTGAACTGACCGGTACACTCAGATCAGAACCAATTTAGAAAAGGTTATTTTGGTCCTACCGGGAAACGAACCCGGGACTTCTGCATCCATCGCCCACAATGTAAACCGTTAGGTCACCGAGGTTGTCAAACACTGTATTATTTTGTTTTTGAAAATAAATTACAACATAATTGACACTGTGCATTAGCCATAATAATTTAGCCCGTAGTGTCCCGTACGGTAGGGACCACCCTACCCCGTGGGCGCTGAAGAGTACTAGGGGGTAATTGGAAATCGGAAGCAATTGGAAAGCGTTGATGCTGTCCAGGGGGTGCTACCACATTTGAAACAAAAACCTGAATTATCTATAGTATAAACTAAAATATGTAGTTATATAGTATGTATTTATAATTTTTCTCCTTGTCATTTTTTGTATAAAGTTAATATAGAAAATACCTGTTTTTAATTTTTTTTATGGTGGTGGGCGTTGAAATTTTGTTATCATGCCTAAGGGGGCGGTGAGCCAAGAAGTTTGGGAATCTATGATTTAGCCTCTAATGAATGAACTTTCAGTTATGTTAGACACAAGGTCGGTTTTTGCCTCTCTCTCGCTTTTTGCGCTCATCGGCCTGCTTTACTTGATGATGTTGTTTTATTATTTTTTATTCTTGCATTGTGTGGTTTTTTGATACTCAATATAACCGTTACCTATAATATTAAGTTACTTAAAAGAACATTAAAAAAGATAATAATAATAACACGGAAATAAAACATTTGCTAAGCCTGTCCCAAACGAGAAAGTATTAAAGATACTATTAACGAATTAATAGAACCAACTAAAATTATCTAACCAAAAAGTATTTTTATAGAAATGTGCTCTCGCGTCTGCGTCAATGTAGTATTACATATTTTTTCTTTGCATTTTTAGTTTACAAATATTTTTAATTAGTTTATTTTGTAACTTTTAAGTTTATTCAATGTCACGATGTTTGAAGAAATAGATTTCCAACACATAGAAAAATTCATAAGGTCCGCTAGTTCGTTTCGTGGCTTAGCTGGAATAGCGTCTGGCACGGGTTGCTGGAACACGCTGGTTCGAATCCAGTGGGATCGAAGGATTTTTTTCTTAGTGTTCGATTATTGTATTAATACTAATAACAAACTAGTTTTTAACCGATTTTAAAAAAGGAGGAGGTTTTTAATTCGACCGTATGTTTTTTTTGTATGTATATTACGCGATAACTCCGGTATTTGTGAACCGATTTTCATGATTCTTCTTTTGTTGGAAAGGGGGTACTTCCATAGTGGTCCCATTTCATTTTGAAGAAAATCAACCACCTCTAAGGGTGGCTGTTCACACATGAAGATTCAATTCTATAAATAGCGCCTAAATTATACTTAAGGAGCAATTATTTTAATGGTTCATTTTGCTATTTCTCCAATTCAAGGCGTTTTTCTCTCAATATACTTTGAGTAGTGGGAACCAATTTTTGTTATCTCCAGTGTCAAGTCCTGTATAGTGGCGAATTTAAGGATATTTCAATAAAACTTAGCAAATAGACGTATTTCCACGTACTTTTGAGGACGGTTTTTTTAGTACTCTGTACTGAGATTATATTATTAATAGTTACTTATTTAATAACAGTAATAATTCATTGTAGCTACTGATATTATTTACGTTAGGGTTTATTTTAAGATATCTATATTTTTTTTAATTTCATTAGGTAATATCTTGTTTAATTTTTTTCTGTCGTATCCACATTTGCATGCCGTGGCGACCATTTAGTATCACTGTTTCTACATTGTAACATTTAATTCATGTCTTCTTGGTTGTTCTAAAAATAAATAGAAACGAAACATACTGTGTCAATGTGAAAAACTAACCAATCATGTATGGCTATCGCCAATCAGAATTACCTGATTGGTTCTTTCTCGGCATTGACATTCCATTTCATGGATAAGTAAAATTTTAAAAAAGGAACTGATAAACGCTCATAATAGAGCATGTCATAATCCCAGCTCTCACTTTAGAGTGAGCGTGAGTGGTCCACACATGGCCTTTATTAACCTGTTATTTATAACTCTTCATTGTCATATCTTGGATTGTTTATAGTTGAAGGAATTTGTGTGCAAAGGCGTATTATTATCTTCATTTAAATTTCGAATGGATATCACATTCATATGACGACTTCGATTCGTGGCCGTTAATGAGGGGTTCTCGGATTCGGTTTCCAGTAGAATCAAATTAGGAAACTTTGTAAATTGGTTCTGGTCTGTATATTCTGCGAAGTGCTTTCGGAATTTCATTACTATAGGACACGTAGGACTAGGAATTCCTTTATATAAAAATTATTTTTACTCTCACTAATTAGTATGCTACGCAGCGATTGAACACAATAGAGCACAACCGAAGTTCATATTCAAACATCGTAGAATTCTCAGTACCAAAAACAGATACCGTCACTGAATTTACATAACATAAAACGGAAAGCCTAAAAGTGCATTATTACAATGCATTAGAGTACACCATCGGAGTGACAGATGCATGTGTCAAGATTCCAGAAATCGTGAGTCATTTCCTGTGACTTGCGCGTACAACAATAGGACGGGACAGTTTGTCACACATACTTGTAGATACAGAGTATATTTTTGACTACCCAACCATTTATATCGATAATGAGTTTATACAACTTCAAAAATGGCTTTGGTTCATTCTGCATAACATTGAAAGTATTGAACCAATCACTTTGGACAAAAATATATAGTAAAATAGAGGA